GCCATGTTACACTAAGGAATGGTAAAAAATATATCGATTTCGAAATTTTTGATCAATCTCAGCGTAGACTCCATTTCACAAACACGTATTAATGCGTATACTTTAATCCTGGAAAAGGATTTTCCAATCCGTGAAAGAGAAAAAGAGTATTCGTTATACAAAAATTATATAGTGTTTAGTCGGTAATACAGATCTTTAGGATCCCCTTAAGGGGATGCTGGAGTATCCTGTTTTACCATCAATTTTTAAAGACTCTTTTCTCTTAATTGTGTTTATGGATTGAAAAGTCCTTCTCCACAATCAAAGTATCGACAACAACACAGGCTGCCAGCTACAATGTAATGCGAAAAATGAAAGAAAATTAAAAATTGTAGTTTTGTCACCGGCTCCTGCAGTCAACTCGTCACAATATGTGCTGCATATAAGAGTTTCAGATTTTACCCGTTTAAAATAAGTAGCCAGCAGCCTACAGAAAACCTTGAACAACAATCCTATGCTTTTAAAAACGATGTAGAGGCTTTGGTACAAGAGAAAAGAGTCGCCAAAAATTTCGTTCGTATACTACGAATAAAATTGACGTGAAGCCATGAAACCGTGCAGTATTTTAGTTGATCTCTTTCTAAGAGATGGCGTTGCAATACGTCAGATAAGGACAGATGAATGCGTTTGAGCGAGACACAACGATATAGATAAGTATAAGAAATGAATGAAAGATGTCACTATTATCGAATTTGGAATGTAAAAAAGTCTGTACTATCGACTTTGATTAACTTCGACCGTCACTCCAGCATCCCCTTAAAAATCGCGGTTTTTTTCAGTAATGAACAAAACTAATTATAAAAAGACACATATATAATGTTTGAAGAGAGGGCTTGTTTTTGTGAGAAATATTTGAAAAACGAATAAGACCGTTTTTTTATTGAAAAGTTTATGTAAAATTCATTTGTCTTCTATATTATCAGCTATATTAAAACAGACATGAGATCGGAGTAAAACATTTGCAAAAATAAAAAATGTATGGACACTTCCATCCCTCCTGTTAAAGGACGCGCGAATTTCCACGCCAAGCAGGATCTGCCTGAAAGAAAAGTCGTACGCCCCTTAGCAAGGATGAAACTCGTTTATCGAAAAAAGTCGTGAATTCCTAGGCAGAGAGCGGAGGGAAATGGAATGGACTTCATTTGCATAGGGTCACACTAAAACGATCTTTATATTTATAATCATTATAGCATATAGTCGCTAACAGATTTTTGTTCATTCAATTCGAAATAGAATTTGTCCTCACAAAAACCACAAGCTCCCTCTTAAAACATATACACGAATTTTTATAACTAGTTTTATTCATTACCGAGAAAAGGTACTTCAGGG